TGACGATAGATCAAATGCTAAAATGAATGAAACTATTACTCTGAAATTATCAGACTTAAGTTACCATGCTGTTGAATGGGCATGTAACAATATCAATACAGTATTGGTGAGTACTGGTATTGGTGACCAATATCGATACTCATCATTACTAATACGAATACCAATGGTAACCGATATCAATATCTGCATTAATACTAATACCAACATCAATATCAATACTGCCAATACCGATGTTACCAACACCAAGTGATACTGGTATTGATAGTCTTGATATTGTTACATCCCTACTGTTGAAATAATAGCAAAAGTGATGAATTTCTAGTATATCTAAAAGTTAAAACTAAACAAAGTGCCAATTTTAGTGAGTCCATATCAAGTTAATACTGTAGTTTATGAAACACCGAGCAGAATAGAATGCCAACTAACGATTTTTAGAAATCTGATGGTTCTGCTGCAGTCATGGGTACCCGCTATTAGAAACACTGCCTAAAATTCCAAACAAATATAACTGAATTGTTCTTCTCTATTGAATAGTTTATTTATCTGCAGTTTTAAGTAATCACGGAAAGTTTTGATAGCTCGTATCATCAATTCGTAACATTTAGAATCTCCGTAACAAAATATGAATTAAATAATTGTGTGAAATGTGTCGGAGAAGAAGAAGCTTGTGTTTATGATGATTATATTTTTATTACCCTTTTATCTAGTGGACCTTTAAAGAACGCTAATAGTTAATATTACATTGATAATTTCCTTACGGTACTGAAGAGCAACCATCAATTCGATTTATGACGTAAACTGAAATATGATCTGCATTAAATCAAGAACAAGAACCAACTTTTAAGAAGACGAAATAATCAATTTCATAGCATACTGTGAAAATCCTTTCGAATTAAAAGTACGAGAATAAGTCTTTGTATGGAGAATATTAAACTCTTTTAAGTTGAACAGTAGAAGAGTCATCCCTTCACCGAAGATTAATAAACCTTCCAATCGAAAAGGTATAAGAATCAACCGTTCCGCGTAGATTAATATATCCTTCGACTTAAAAAGTATAAGAGTAAATCTCTATATGTAGAATAATAAATCCTTTTACATTGAACAGTAGAAGAGTCAATCCTTTACCGAAGATTAATAAATCTTCCAATCGAAAAGGTATAAGGATTAACCGTTTGCGTAGATTAATATACCCTTCGACTTAAAAAGTATAAGAGTAAATGTCTATGCGTAGACTAATAAACCCTTTTAAGTTGAACAGTAGAAGAGTCAACCCTTTACCAAAGATTAATAAACCTTCCAATCGAAAAGGTATAGGGGTCAACCGTTCCGCGTAGATTAATATACTCTTCGACTTAAAAAGTATAAGAGTAAATCTCTATGCGTAGAATAATAAACTCTTTTAAGTTGAACAGTAGAAGAATCAACCCTTTACCAAAGAGTAATAGACCTTCCAATCGAAAAGGTATAAGGATCAACCATTCCGCGTAGATTAATATACTCTTAGACTTGAAAAGTATAAGAGTAAATCTCTATGCGTAGAATAATAAACCCTTTTAAGTTGAACAGTAGAAGCTTCAACCCTTTGACGAAGAATGATAAACCTTTCGATTGAAGAGGTATAAGTATCAAGTACAATAGGTAGAATAATAAACCCTTCGAAGAAAACGGCAAAACAATCTATCCTTAGGCGTAGAACAATGAACTGTTTCTTAGAAAGGTAGCACAATCTACCCAGAAGGGCATAATAATAAACCCTTTTAAGGAAAAAGCATAATAATAAATCCGAAACCGTATAATAAAATACTCTCGTCCTGAAACCATAGAATGATCAATCATCATTCGTTGAAGCACATACGGTAACCTCGAAAACGTAGAATAAGATACCCTTTTGCATTGATGATAAACGCCTTGAACTTTGATAAACGTATCGTTTGATGAACGCTTTGACTAATAAACCCTAAAAGAGTTTATTTTGTTGTAATATACCCTTTAAAGGTTTATCAACGAAATTTTTAAGTACTAGGGTAGATCATTATTCGGATTTTTTTTTCAGTGTACATCATGTCAAGTCATCATTTTATAGAGTAAACATTTTAACACTCTATGGTTGCTCATATCTATACAACGTATCAATTGAGTTGACTATCTAGACATACTGTATAAGGGCTATTCAGCTGAGTGGAACTATTAATAAATCGTGTTCGTAATCCCAATAATAGTGGTACTTTCTTATCAGAAGTGCAGAATCTTTCAAAAAATCAAAAATATCTCTCTCCGGGGAAATTTTGTCCAAAGAATTTTCTAAAAGCTGTTTTTTCCTTTGCCACTTACAAACTAACTTTATTTGGCACAAAATAGAAATAAAAATAAAACATGGTAACATTTTGTTCTGTCTGTTACTGTTCGTATTACATAAGAATTCTTTCTACTTGTGTTTTTCTCAAGCGGTTCAAAACAGCTGAATCAGGTGAAGACAGCTTGAATAGACGATGTTGTTTTGTCTTGAAGAAAATCCACTTTTTATCCTTCAATTGAGAGAAATAGTTGTTAGGGCAGAATTTCATGAATGGTTCCTCTAGACGAAATGGTGGTGCATTCCAATGTAACCTCCTTTCTTTGTCTAAGAGTTCATGATCCAGAGCTGAATTGCTTCGAATATGTGGCTTCATGGTCGAGGCATCACTTTCACAGACAGCTTCGCTTCTGTCTTTGGCACAGACGATGAATTTTAGAAAATTGTCAGACTGGGGAATGCTTGAAAAATTTCCCTTCGCGCGGAAGCGCACGAGGAAGATTCTGCACCTGTGCTTCTGATTGACCGAACAAAAAAATCGAATATAATGGGTGGGTGCGGATGTGGGTTTGAGTAAAAGAGGTCTATGATTAAACCACACCCTTAATAATTATAGGAAACTATTTCAAGGAACCAGGATGAATCTACTAATTTTATATCTTTGGATGTCACGCAATAAGCACATTTCACTTTTACTAACGAGAATTTATCGATAAATCATCATTAGTAGATACAAGTTGAATGTGTTGAAATAATCGGACATAAGATGATCTATTTTCCTCATTTCGATAACTAAAATCTTCATGCATATTCTTAATAATTAACCTTGAGAAGATTTGAATCTCTTTTCGTATGGCATAAATAAGAATTGAGAAGAGTGTGCCTTGATTAACACATACATAAACGTCTACACTCTCATTCCTCAAGATAGAAAATGACTTTTATGATAAATGTACCTGTTTTGCTTGTGGTCTTTATGTGCACTACTGTATAGTATTGATCTCTTCTAAAGCAAATTATTATTTCAACAATATTCTGTGTTGTAAGACCTGTTAAGAGCAATTAAATATCAATAAAAAAATATTATTTTCATTTAAAGTTGTCTAAAACGGAAGTGCTTCATCTGATATAGTCAAGTTGATGAAACGCAATCTTCGTCGATCAGTTCAGAAAATAAATTATATAGTTTGTCAAAATATCTATAGTGAAGTCAATGATACAACAGTTGCATATCTTCTTGGTATTGCAATAAAATATTTCCAAATGTTCAAATTTCTGCTGAAAATTCAAGATATTCAACTATGAGTATAATTAGAATTGATAATGACAATTTTTTGTTTGAGATACATTAATTTGGCTAGTTCAAATTTTTGTTTAGAGGGAATATTCAATGGATTCTTAAATAGATATCTTTTCAGAGACTCTAATTTCCAGTATTTGAATTAAAAAATTTCAAAAACAATTGTATTTTAGCAGAAGTAGTTTCAGAATTTTCCAACTGTATTTATACAAATTTTTGTTGACTTTCCTTCATTATTTATAATAATTTGAATCTATTGCCAACAAAATAAAAGCTTCTTGACCATTTTTTCCATTAGCAAAATGGTAAAACATAATATCTAAACGATAGTCGATAATTTCATCGGCCTTCAACGTGTGTGAAAACTTCAACATATTAAAACACTATCTAGATCTCCAATGAGTATTTAAACTACTTCTAATTATTTATTGATGATGTTACATCTTATCAGAATTTCAAAATCGAAATAAGATTTTCAGATAGAGATAGAAACTCTAAAAATTGATCCATAACTATTATGACAAACAAGTGCACTCTAAGTTACAATGCGTCGGATGTGTCGTGATTTACAACACATTCCACGACGCATTCGAGCACGACACTAGGTGCTCGTTGCGACACATTTTCTCCAGCAAGCATGCGACACATTCTGAAATCACTGTTCGAATCAAGATTTCACTATATCTATATTTTTTCTTTTGTGCATTATATTCATCACTATTTAATTAGTACAATTAACATCAGTCCTCGATGCAACAGTTTAAATCAGGCAGATATTTAGGCTCAGCCGTGTAAGGTTAGTTAGATCTTAGCTAGGCTATTACCAGGTAGACCTCTCTTTTAGCGAAGTCATTATTTCTTGAAATATTTACAAGAAATATATAGTCGAGAAATATATTGTATAAAATGGTCCACGAAACTCACAATTTTCATGTAATGGTTCAGATCTATTATAAATAGATAAACGTGCGAAACAAAATCGGTGAATGAACAGCCGTCATATACGTACAGAATAATTAAAAATACGACACAATTAAGTACGATACATTTTCTTGCTGGAACCCACGACACTTTAGTTTACGATGGAAAAAGTCTACACATTTTAACCTCGAGTGTGTATATGTTTAGAATTATATCTTTGTAAAGAAACTTTCTCTTTGTTTATTCTTGTTGACTGACTTCAATTTATTTCAAATCATTCTAATGTTATAGAACATGAATACGTGGGTCATTTTGGAAGTTTTTAGATTCTTTATTAAATTAAGAGATATCTAAGACTTTGATAGTTCTGGTAGTAGACCCAAGTTTTAGAAGAAAGTATACAAAGTTTTAGCTCTTAAACATTTTTCCTTTGGTTGTTTTGTAGATTAAGTGTTTCACTACTAACATAGTTTTTTTTGCATCGTCATGAATCTAACAATAGAACAAATTCGAGTTATGATTTATTATGATTACAAAAAACAACTATCACAAGATGAATGTCTTGAATCATTACACAAAACCTTTGGTGACTCTTGTGTTTCTCGTGCCACAGTTTACAATTGGTTTGCTGAATTCAGTCGCGGCAGGGATCACTTTGAAGATAAACCTTGTGCTAGTCGACCAAGAACTGCAGTCACTCCAGAAAACATCGAAGCTGTTCGTGAACTGGTAAACATTGATCCTCATATTACGTGTCAACAGATAGAAGACACTTTACAGATTGGATCGGCATCAACTGAAATTATTCTTCATGATTATCTTGGTTTACAAAAGTTACATGTCGTTGGGAGCCACATTCTTTAAGTGAAGCTCAAAACCAGGACCATGTTGACTATTGCCTAGAAATGCTCCAGAAATTCAACGGTGGTAAGTCAAAACGTGTGTATGATATTATCACTGGTGATGAAAGTTGGTTCTACTATTATGATCCACAAACGAAGCGTCAAAGCCAAGTTTGGGTGGCAAGCAATGATCCTCATCCAACTAAAGTTCGTCGATAACGTTCTGTTGGTAAACATATATTTGCAATTTTCTTTATGAAGTCCGGTTTTAATACAATCATTTCTCTTGAAAATGGTAAAACAGTTACAGCTAAGTGGTATGCAAATGAATGCCTTATACAAGTGCTCAAACAAGTGGAGAAACATCGACGTTTCAATGGTCTTCTTATTCATTATGACAATGCACCTGCACACAAGGCAGCACTAACAATGGAATATTTAGATACTCAACACGTCAAACTGATGGGTCATCCAACATATTCAACAGACCGAAGTCCGTGAAGTTGTTCGTGATTCCCAAAAATTAAAGAGCAACTTCGTGGTAAAAACTTCCAGGATATTAATGAACTTCATGACGCTATCAGAACACAAATAGACTGTCTTCAAAAAGATGATTTCTACTAATGTTATGTAAAGTGGTTCGAAAGAATGAATAAGTGCATTGGTGCACAAAGACATTACTTCGAACAAATATAATAAAATCCTTTTAAACTTAGTTAATAGTATTGCAAATCTAAAAACTTTCAGAATGACCCACGTATGTAAAAATCCTACAGAAAACCAACCATATGTCGTTGTATACAATAAAACAGTATTCAATGCGATAATTTCAAATAAGATCGAATTTTAAGAACTCCGTGAATGTCCACGAATTCATAATTAAAGAACTATACATAGATCATTGCCACCATGGTTGAGTGGTTACGTTGTTCGACATGTACCCACAAGGTACTGTGTTTAAACCTCAGTATCATCTCCCATAGAATCATCCTCGGCAAGTCACTAACAGCTAAGTTGTCTAAAAATGAGTCATTCTACATGAGTCATTCGCATTGACTATATCTTTAGGCAGTATGCTGGACGAAAGAGGATGCAGATACCGCCGTGTGTAAAAAGAAAAGATGAAAGAAGCTGACTGCATGTGAAGATTAATAATAATAACCGCGGCCAGCCTCAACAGACGATAAACCTATGAGACGTTATTATTATTATTACATGCATCATGACTTCTGGTATCGGCTTCTAATCGATCCGTTTGTTTTGTTGATGCCAACACCAATGATACGAATTGCATTAGTTTTCTATTCCATGATTTACCTGAAATTCTATCGAATACCGATTTCGCTGACTTGTGCAATAACATAACACGTATGCCATGTGCACACGTATTGAGAACTATAAAAACAACACATTTCTATACTATTTTTCTTCTCTTTTTATCAAGCATCAGACGAATGCATGAATCATCAACATTTATAATGCTAGTTTTGACCCAATTACACTATAAACGTGAAGCACAGACAATATTTATAACATTTTCTTTGAAAATATTAGTCAAGAAGAAAGATAACAATTATAACGATTACATTTGTAGATTGCTTAGAAAGTTTTTTTAATTATTTTCAGATGAAGTCAACTGCAGCATCTACTGCATTGTCATCACCATTCAATGGAAAAACTATTGTACTTGAACTTGGTCGTGAAATCGGTTTCAAAGCTAAACAAGAATTAATCAAATATTTACAAGAACAACAAGCACATATTTCATATATTCTTACAGCTAGTGTACGTTTTTATTCCATATATATGATGAAGATGTCACTAGATCTCAGTATTTATTATTAGACTGATTATGTTTTGATCACAAATAATGTAGATAACTATAAGACACGTCGTGCCAAACAACTTGGATTGCCACTAGTTAATATTGAATATGTGTATGAATATCGTCGTTTACCACTTGGTCAAACATCGATCGATATAGACAAATTTATCATGAAGTCAGTGGAAGATCAAGAAAATTTTACTAACACTGGTACCATATCCGTCACAGGTATATATATTCATCATTTTTTTCCATCATATTAAAAATGTTTATTTGTTAGGATCTCGAGCTAATTTAGTCAAGATCCATAAATTCGATTTAAATAAAATCAAAATATGGAATGCAGATGATGTTAATTTACCTCGTTTTGATGAGTTAACACATTGTGAAATATCAAAATGGGCCATGTTTAAAGTATTGTTTTATTTTGTAGCTCTTGTTCTTTAATATATATAACATTTATCGTAGGAAACGAATGATAACTCAGAGGTGTACTTTGCACTTGAACTTCAAGTCATTCCTGAACAATATTATGATCGAACAATGAATGATTATCGAATACGATTTCGCTATGAAAAACAAACAATTGTTAATGATAGACAACAACAAAATAAAAAAGTATTAATACAATATGCATTCAGTGATGATTCCTATGAACAACAACAACTGTTTGCTACGTATTATTATCGAGTAGCTACAATGCCACGTGTCACACGAATTCGTGAGATGTTACCTGATAAATTAGGATCAAAATTATTGTTACGTGTATGTAAAAGAATAATTATTTTTTTTCATCTAGAAAAACAATAAGTTTTAGTCTTTATTTACTCATCGTATTGATACACAAATGCTTGATGAAAATGTCTGTCAATTAATCGAATCGATTTGGTTAGAATCAATTGGTGATTTGAATAAAATTTTAAGCGTAGCACCTGAATCAATCATTCTTAAAACAGTATATTTATTCATTTTTCTATATTTAAATTCGTTTTATTCTTTAATTATAATATAGATTATTGAAGCTGAAGCTGCACTACTTGAATTGAAAACAACTAATGATCCTGATGCTGCACTTCGTTTCTATTCACTTATTCCCCATCGACCACAATATAATGTTGATCTTATAAAAAATCGTCGAGCATTAACGGAAAAAATCGATCTATGTCAAGTATGTATTATTTTGTTCAATGTTTTAATATTATCATTCATTTGTTTTTAGATGCTTCGAGATATGGTCACAGTCAACGAATTAACCAATTGGAATACAAAAGCACCAATTGAAGCTAAATATCGAGCATTGAAATGTCACATTGAAAATATCGATAGTTCAACACTAGAATTTAAAAATATTGCTGAATTGATTCAATCATCAACAGATAGGTGAGAAGAAAAACAACCCTGTTTTTATTATGATAAGTCTAATTATTCTATTCATTAGTGGTGAACAAATTGTTATTCATCAGATATTCAGTGTAGCTAAACAAACAGATGCACTCAATTTTTGTACATCTATATCAAATCAACGACAATTATTTCATGGATCAAAATATGCAAACTTTCTTGGAATTCTTTCACGGTAAAAACATTTATTTCAATTTCTAAAACTAATATTTTTAGTACAATTATACATATACAGTGGTTTAGCAATGCCAAAACTGGTAGTAGAAGAACTAGGTGTTACACGTACTGATATAGGTTGTCTTGGTTATGGACTTTATTTTTCTGATTCTGCTTCAACATCTTTAAAATATACGACAGCAAGCACAACACGATCTGGTAGACGATTGTTATGTGTTTGTCAAGTAGCACTTGGTGAATCAGCTAAATATTATTCATATGCATCAACTCTAGTCAAACCTCCTGATGGTTATCATAGTACACATGGAGTCAAACGAACCGCAGAAAACAATTCAATGTTTATTGTAAATAGATTGTAGAGAAAAAAATTTCTATTAGTTTTGTACATTTGATTGAGAGAGAAAAATAAGGTATGTTTTTTTTTGGTTCAATTTAAATGATTCATATTAAGTTACACAACAAAAATTTGACAATCAATCAATCTTCATTTGAGACTCTTTATCATTAATAATTTAACTTTAGGATAATGAATATGCTATCTATCAACTTGATCAACAACGTTTACTCTATATTGTCGAAGTTTCATGGATACCACATGATAATTTGAATATTGAATTAGAACGATTGTCAATTATTCATCATCAACAGCATGCACTACAATTAAGTGAACATGGCAATAAAAATGAAGTAGTTCTATTAACAGAAAATTCGATTTGATTATCTCTTATGTTCTAGATGAAGTTCCAATGACAATCGAAGATGAAGTTATTGAAATTGCTGAACAAGATTATGGTTTAATAAATCCATCATCGGGAAAACTTGTACCACTTAAATCATTTCATATTCGTGCTCAAATTATTGATGCTACTGTTGAAGTAACTATATATATGAATCATTTCACGAACATCATATTAAATTCGAATATTTTTCTTTATCTAACATAAAAAGGTTGTACTCTATCAAGTTTATCATAATACAAGTTCAATACCAATTGAAGCTAAATATGTATTTCCTCTTGATGAAAATTCTGCTGTATGTGGTTTCGAAGCACATATAAATAATAAAGTTATTAAAGGTGTTGTCAAAGAGAAAGAACAAGCCAAAAAAGAATATCGAGAAGCTATCGAAAAAGGACATGGTGCTTATTTAATGCATCAAGAACAAGCTCAAGTATTTAGTGTAGCTGTTGGTAATTTACCAGCAAACAATGAAGTTATTATTAAAATAACTTATGTTGCCGAATTAGAAATTGAAAATGGTGAAATAATATTTCGTCTACCAGCTAAAATGGCATCATGGCAATCGAAACAAGCACTCGAAAATAAGGATCAATCAATTGTACGATCGATTGGTATTGCCGATGAAAAAGTTGAATTTAGTTTCAAAGTATCAATTCGAATGCCATATGAAATACTTAAATTATTTTCACCAACACATCGTCTTCGAAGAAAAATAACTGATTGTATAGCAGTGATTGAACTTATTGATAATGTTTTACTTGATCGAGATTTTGTTCTTTCAATAACACTTAAAACTGCTAATTTACCTCGATTATCTATTGAATCATTATTATTAGATGATGAAAATCAAACAGCAATAATATCAAAAAGGAATGAATCTCAAGCATGTATGCTTACATTTTATCCACGTTTTGAAACATTAACAAATTTAAACGAACAAATCGAACTCATTTTTATTATTGATGTATCAAATTCAATGGATGGTCATCATGTACAGCAAGCTAAACAAATAGCTCATTTATTTCTTACAAATTTAAAGGTCGACGATGGAAATACATATTTTAATATAGTTACATTTGGATCTGGTATATATATATATAGTGCTAATCTATAGAATTCTTTCTATTGTCTAAATTTGAATCTATTTAGATAATGATGAATGTTTTCCAATCTCAACACCAGTAGCCAAAGAAAATCTTGATAAAGCTAAACATTTTGTTTTGGTTAGTAGTTGTTCGTTTTGTTACTATTGAAATATTATTATGTATTCTTTTATTTTAGCATTCACTTGTTCATCGTGGTAATACAGATCTATATGCTGTTCTTCATCGTTATTCTCTATTAACATCATTACCAACATCGAAATATGGTCGTCAATTTATTATTCTATCTGATGGACATATTCATGATTTTCAATCGATTCTTGTTCTACTCAAACATCAATCAACAATGCGTCGAGATCGTATATTTACATGTTCAATAGGTAACATTGCTAACAAACATGGTTTAAAACAATTAGCAAATGGAGCACGGGGAGGTGGTTTAACAATTGTTTTCGATTCGAACTATCGATCAAAATGGAAAACGAAAGTATTAAATATTCTTGAACAAGTTCGACAACCATGTGTAACAGATATATCAGTTGATTGGCATGGAAATCTAGATGAACAACAAAAATTTAATATGCAAATACCAAAAATAATTCGATCATTATTTAATGGAATGCGACTGAATATCTATCGATTTATACAAAATTATCATAAGGCTACATTAACGGCTACTATTGATGGACAAGAATATGTTACTACAGTATTTAGTAATCCAACAACAACGACCAAAGGACGTATCTTACATTGTTTAACTGCTCGAGCGATTATTGATGATTATGAAAATGGAATGTTACATGTAGATGAGAGTGAAAATGAATTGATGAAAATTCAATATAAACAAGATCTCATTGATCTAAGCATAAAACATTCAGTTGTTAGTCCATATACTAGTTTTGTTGCTATCGAAGAACGAGATGCTAAAACTGATGAAAAAA